GCTATATTGAGAGTTTCGTTCAAAGTAAGTCTTCGTTAAAGCGAATTTTGCATTTTAGACTTTTTGTTAAATATTGGATTTTTCGTGTGAATAACTGAAATAATGTAAACAATTATTGCTGAAAAATGTATATTACTATAATTTTATTATATATTCTTAAGTTGCTCATATAATATCGAATTCTTTTTATGAAGAATTCAAAACTTTGATTATGTGAAAGAGGATCGTGCCCTAACACAAATAGTGTATCTATTATGAGAAATTCAAAGCTTTTAAAGTTTAATCGGCACATACGTAATTCATAAATAATGTTACTAATAAATAAATGTTCTCACATGTGACTATACGTAAAGTGAAGATAATCAAATTATATGTATCAATCAATTACGCATCTTATGAGAAATTCAAACTTCTAACATTAAATTTTTGAAAAAACTGATCTAATTCAAAGATAATGAATGCATATTGTAAAACGAATTCCTTCGTAATAAATTATTCAATACAAATCGAAATACACTCGTGTATTTAAAATTCTAAATATAGATATACAATTGTAAATACATACTTTCTTGTATCGTCAATTTTTTCTCATGATTGAGACATGCGTTTGCGGTTAGATTATCTGCACGCATAATACATGTACATGTATCATTTGTCAAAATATTTTTTATTTTTCCAAATATTTTTACAGATATGTATTTACTAATAAATTATGGGAAAAACATATTAATGTATAAAGTAGTGAAACTTGGCGCTTTAGTGTTAGCTTTCTAAATAAATATCTATATTTAGAATATTTAGATGCATGAATGTTTTGGAATTTCTCATGAGATGCGTATTTGGACACAGTGATACAAACAATTCGATTCTCTTTCCCTTTACAGTATATTTTACTGAATATTTATTTATCAATACTATTATTTATGAATTACGTAGATGAATTGACTAATTCTTCTCTCATATTAAATGTCACTTTCGTTTTTTTTCATCTTACAATATATTTGCATCCGTGAAAATTTATTTACTCATAAAATTATATTAATTTAAACACTTTTGAATTTTCCCATACTAGGTATAATGTGTGATGCATAATTATTTATATTTATATTTTAGATGAGAAAGGATTCGATTAAGAATTTTTTGATTAATTACACTGTATTTTAAATATATCACGTCGAAAGAATTCATCTTACAGTTCAATTTCATTATCATCTAATCGATCAAATTGTTTCCAAATGTTTAATATTAAGCATTTTGAATTTTTCACACGTATTTGGGACACAATGATACTCGTAATCTGATTACTTTACAGTGTAAGCTTTCGATTTTTTCACATCATCGTATATTTGCATGTGTAAAAAAATTATTTTGTTCATAACATTATTTATAAATCACGTATGTGTCAATTAAATTTTAAAAGCTTTTGAATTTCTCATACTAGGTATGTTATTTATGTTAGGACACAATCCTCTCACATAATTAAAAGTTTTGAATTTCTCATGTTTATAATAAAAGAATTTGATATTATATGAGCAACTTAAGAATATATAGTGAATTTGTAGTAAATATAGTAAATATACATGTTTCAGTTATTCACACAAAAATCTAATAGTTCACTTTAACAAAGACTGACTTGAACGAAACTCTCAATATAACTAAACTTTAAAAATTCTCTAGTAGTTAATAATAATGACAACTTTGACAAGGAATTTACACGTGAGCTTTTATTTTTTATATTGTTTTTCAAATGATATTCAAACGAAAATAAATAAATTCTCAGAACACATTTCACAAGCAAAAAAAAGGATTTCCGACACATAATCCTGCCAAATCTTTATTATCCTCTTTCTGTCCACGATTGTTGCACCTTATCAGACAAAATAGAAATATAAAAAATTCTGTTTATGCATATTCTCTGGGAATGATTTTAACCTAAAACTGAATAGTGTTCATTCCAGCCGAATACGGTATTGGTGCTTATTTTTTTTAGTAGTTTACTACTATTTCGAATACATTTAGTGTCGCCCAAAATACAATAATTAGCTTTTTTACACATGAGTGTCGCTAACCAGCTGGCTAGTTTCATTGCACGAAATCCAAATTTTTTAAAAAATTGATGCGTTTCGTTTGATCCGTTGATATCGATATTGTTTATTGGATTGTGATATTACGATTTCTTTTTACTTCTCTTTGGAAAAAAACTTATTTTTATTATTCGAAAATTGAATTCAAAGAGTGTTAGTAAACATTTGAGGTTATTTGTTATTTGAATTAAAGCATATTTTACATGTAGTAATTATTTTTGGAATTAAATATTCCTATTTTACCTTTGTCCTTGAATTTCTTTATCTTCGATCGCAAAATCTCTGTATAAGTTTTGGCATAGGAGACTTTAGTGATGCTCACTCTGTGTAAACCATTCAGTTTAGCCCCTAAACTTGCTATATACTCAATTCTTTAGTCACCCTAAATTATGTAACACTACTTGTATCGATAATAATTTTTAGATAGGTTTTTTGTAAGTAATAATTAATATTAAATATGCTCAAACATAATTGCAACGAGTAACGACATTGTATAGTTAATTAACTAAGAAAATTATTATTCAATTTGCGGAAGGATGATTTTTGTGCAATCTCTTAATTTAGTTCAAATTTTATTTTTATGATTGAACATTTCCATTCTATAATTCAAATTATGACAGGGATAGTAAATCGTTTGGCATTGTATAGTTACCTGAAACACTATAAATGATTTTTAGTAAAGTTAAAGTTTCATTATCTCTAAATTTAGTCATCTCTGAAACTGGTAAAGCAACTGACAATGTCACTTAAAATAACCAGTGCATTTTGTTGGAAGTGTTGGAGTTGACTTTTAGGAATGCATATCACCTTTAACTATATTAACAACAGCATCAAGTTTGAACTTTAAAAGAGCAGCTATAAATTGGGTTATACCAGCTTTGTTTGAGACTTTCATAGTTTTCTTTAAAATAGGATAATTTATGTATATCTCTCTTTATAATGACATAAATTATTTTGACTAATTTGATCATTATAAGGACATTTCTTTATATAAAAAATGTCAATGGTCTTGTAATGTTACGCACTTTCAGGAATTAGGAAATGCAGCAAAGTAAGGATAAGAGCAAAACTGATGTTTTACAATTAAAGGGTTTTTTATTCATGTTTTCTAAAGATTTCTTATGATGATTTGTACGCAAATCAACCTCTTTTATTTTAATAGGGGCGCAAAGGAGGTTTCTGATCACCAGCAACAAAAAGATCTACAAAGGGGTTTCGAGAAGGTTTTGATCGCCTACAACACAATAACGCACGTCACAAAGGTTACTTCGGGAGCAACGACTCGGATGATTTCAACTAACCAAAAAACTACAATGTTCAAACTCGGAGGTTGGCTTAGTTTCAAATATGGATTCTTTAGAGTGAAGGTCGTTCACTACTTGTGCGCAAGGTTTGCAGATAACCAAATAAAAGGAAAAATGATTATTACATGCAAAGGAATTTATTTAAATTTATTTGATTAGAGCATATCGTTCAAAGCTAATAGCTTGCCTATATATATACAAATTAAATCGTTACTATATCTATCTTTTCAGTAATCTGAATTAAATATATTCAGAATGATTGATTTAATATTATGCCAATGAGTAAAGGGATTATCAAATGATCGTAAAAAATCCCAAACCATATCGAAAAAATTACTTTCAAATCGTTTGAATCCAACGATATACATGTACCTATCGACATAAATATAGTTAGTTGATTCAAAATCTAGAAATTGCAAACTGACAGTACTATTGTTATATCAAACTGACGGGCTCTATTGTTATATTAAATTACAATCATTCATCATTGTTATCAACATCACGAGACCAAGCTATTTGTTGATACATATAAGGAAAGATGGATAATCACGAGAGTTTTGGATTAATATATAATTTATTTATCTGTTCTTCGACCAATATATTATCGGCAACTAAGGATGACTGTATTATGATAACAAATTTACAACTATAATGAATTTAAAATTGAAGTTTGCTATATTTCAATATGAAAAGGTTCGTTATATATATAGAGTTAGCTGTATATATATTTTAAAAAGCAAACTTGACAACATCGTAATTATTGTATTTAAATGATAGCTCAGGTTCTTCCGCAACTTCTCTCTGTGTTTTTTAGCTCCGCCGAAAGTTTTTACGAAGTTATCCTTGATTACTTAAAAAATCAAATGATTTTCACATGATTCACATAGTAGCTGATGACGCAATGCACTCCATCAAAAATCTCAAACGATTTATCTATTTTTATTGATGTATTCTACTCTTAAATTGCATGTTGTACTAATTTTTTGCATATCGATATCGTTATTTGACCAATTAGCCCACTAAATTTTTTAAGCCGTTAAAATAAAATCACATCAAACAATGATAAACGAGTCAACTTGCGCTTTTACTTCTGCAACAGTGATCAGAAAATTGACTACGCAAAAACTGATCGAATTTTTACAAAAGGAAGATTTAGAACTTATAGACGAGGATTTTAGTATAATTTCCAGAGAGAGAATCAATGGTCGTGACTTCTTCAAGTTGACCAAGGATATACTTAGAAGCTATGGCATGAAAGGAGGGCCTGCGACAAGAATTGCAGACTTTGCTAATGAGTTCAAAGAGAAAAAATCAAGAATTTTCTATGAATGTATTCAAGAGCCGATGACTTTCGCTAGTCTGGACCAATGAAGAATTACCAGAAGTGACAAACGAGTTATCGGTAACATTACGATTGAATATTCTGTATCATAATCCCTCCTATGTTTCTGTTTTTCATAAAGGTATACAAAGTTATGTGTTCTGCAAAAAAGCTCATGGTATTGTTAACTAAAGATTATAAAACGTGTATATTTTTAAACTGTCATATTAGGTGAAACAAACGATGAACGTACACCCACACTCTGTCTAACAGAAAAAATTTCGGCACCGAATGGTGACCGATAATTTCAATATAGGAATCAACTCGATCGGAAACGGGCTTTGCCTGAACCGTTGGTATCATCTAATCTACATACTCTCTGAACCAGAAAAACGGTTAGATTTTTACATAGATGGAAAATGGGCCGGGTTCAAGAGCTTCAAACGTGTTCAGTCGGAACATATCATGTTCAATTATGGGCCGTTATACATCGGATACGATAGTTGTCATGCTGGGGGATTTATTGGTCTAATCAGGTATAATTATCATAATGATAAATATAGCTATTTTTCACAAACAACAAAAAAATCTGATTTATATATAATGCAGTAGATATTCAGAATTTGGCCATTTTGCGTAGATGAACAACATAACTTCGAAGGAACACCAGTTTTGCGAGATAGTTCTGCAGCAATACGATAATCTATTTTTAACGATAAATAAAAAAATAATATTTTTTTTGGACTTGAACTAGACTTGTTTTTAAGTTCAAGTCCAGTTCAAGTTTGAGCTCAAGTTTGGTTCGAGTTTAAACCAAACCACTTAAGTGGTTCTAAGTAAGTTGTAGCCTAAATTCTAGGTTGCAATTTCATATAAGCTATGTTATAACAAAAGATTAATTCCTGCTGCATTTAAATAAATTATTTTATTTAAAAATAAAATATTTTAGTTTTTTAATAGTATTTTAATAAGAACTAATGATTATAAATAAATGTGTAACTCTTGTCTAGAGCTACAAATTTTTACTAAGATAGTTTATAATAAAATATTGCTATTTATGAAAATACAGAGGGCTATCAAAAGTTTCTGAATGCTTTTTTACTTAATAAAAATTTTAGTTTTTAAAATAAAAAATGTTAAATCACTAATAAGACTTTATTTTAAGTTTATTATGCTCTATATTTTGTATTATATAACTAGTACTTAATTGAATCTTCTTCCATCATAATCATTACCTGAATTTGTGCTGGTATACTATTAACTAAACTAAATTTTCAATTATACATTTTGAGATCTTTTTCCATATATCTTTGACATACTTATTAATCTTTGCAAGCTTAGTTGATTTCTTCTATTATTTTTTGAGAATTCTCTTTATCTCAGCCCATAAATTCT